AAACTGATCGAGTTGTCTTCTGATGTCACTCTGGTGTCCAGACATAAAATGCAATCATTGCCTCAATTTTGGATATCCCTCGATAAAGAATATCCATCTCTGAGTTATAAAGCTATCAAATTGTTGGTCGTTTTTCCGACTTCCTATTTGTGTGAAAAGACTTTTCAGCTATGTCAGTAATAAAAACCAAACAGAGAAATCGAACTGATGTTAATCCAGCGCTTTGTCTCTCAGAAACAACACTGCAACCACGTATATCAAATTTGCTTACAAAGAAGCAGCAGCAGATGTCGCACTAACCAACAATTGTAATTTTATAACATTAGATTTAATAAATAAAATTCTATCTACATTGGTTTTTATTTCTGGCTGACGCCGGGCCACGGGTGTTAAAAGGTTGAAGACCACTGGTCTAGGCAACACGGAGTTTTCTCTATATCCAATGGGCAAAGTGGAGCCTCCACCATATAAACATTACGTTTTAAATCTGTTTTCGACTGTTTCAAAAATATATTCACAGACTGTTTAGTCTGTGTTGTAAGTTTCCATTAATTATGTCACTAGCATGCAGACAGGCAAGTAGTTCCATATTTTGCTCTAGGTATCAGGAATCCATTTAGGAAATGATAGAAATAAGATCTGTGTGGTTGAAGCAAACTACTCTCTGGACATTATCCATAGTCTCAGATTTAATAAAACACGACGTTTCAGAGATTGGAATCTACCTCCATCTTCAGGTAAAATCTACTCTGTTGGGCCCTTTCTCCAGAGATAGGGAGTAGCTCTCTATTGACTGGGACCAACAGAGTAGGTTTTACCTGAAGATGGAGGTAGATTCCAATCTCTGAAACGTCATGTTATATTAAATCTGGGGCAATGGATAATGTCCAGAAAGCAGTTCGCATCAACAACATAACATCATTACAAAATGTTCAGAATTAGAATCTGTATACTCAGATTTTAAATCAGTATACTTTTTAGACTTTTTTTAACTGTGTGTCCATTTGCTGTTGGAAAATACATTTTTTACTGGTACAAAAATTGTAAGGTCTTTATTTTCTTAAAAAACTTGGGGGGGGCAATATTATACTTTGCATGGGTATTACCAGTGCCTTTACATACCACTGAGTACACATCATATGTTTATTCTTGTTGGTCCTGTAGTTTTATAAGTGTAGAATCACAAAAAATGCTTTGATATAGAACTCCCCTTGGCAGACATGTGGCAGGGTGAGATGTCCTCTGGAAATGATGCATCTTGGCTTCTGCTGTGTTTGCTGAGTTACTACATCTGTATAGACCATTGCACAAATCATTATTTTCGGAGACAGAAGTTTCTTACATAACATAGATGACATCAATAATGATATTCTCTTTAATTGCAGTCTGGACATACTGTGTTGACTTTTCTGCAGAGGTTGCAGAATTTTGTTGAACAGGATCCACATGGAGGTGTTGGCAGTTGCACATTTTTGCCAATAGGTTGCACACCATTGTTAGCATACTTCCTGCTTCTTGCAACTTCCAGCAGTTGTTTTATATGCTTTGCTGTTGGTTGTTTCTCAACTCTGTTTCTGAATTCAAGTTTATGGACTTCTTCATCAGTTTGAAGTTGTCCTTTTTTTTGTATTACTCTTGTTAACAGAAAAAAATGTTCCATGATAAGAAACTTCTCAAACATATTCATTGCAATTTTGGAACCAATTAACTTAACAGTGGACAGAAAGAAATGCAGTTTCTGTGCATGTCCAGTGATAGACATCTTCCAGGCTACTTTATACTGTACAAGCCGTTTTTGCCATTACTTAATGTAGTAGATATTTCTTCCTGTGCTTTCATTGGAGTGGATTCAAGCATATTGAACTTTTAAATGGTCTCAGTATTCTTTTATTTGTATTGAAGAATAAGATTTTAATGTGTATTATTATCTATTCTCATAAATGGTTTAACTATTTTTCTCTGTATCATCTATTTTTCCATGCACAGAACAAATACCAAATTTTTGTGTATCTTTGTTTTTAATTTAATCTGACGCTTTATTTTCTTTAATGTGCTGAATAAACACAAATTTTTTGTTTTAAATTTTATCTGGACTTTGACACTGCTTGACACTTTTGCTTGAATTTTATTAACTGCTTTTAATACAACTTTGACTTCAGTATAAATGTCTGGGAACAGCTATTATATCAAGTTCTTTTTTACTTCAAATCTAAAACTTCTTGACGATGGTGAAGAGTCAATTGAATAAAAATTTACTTGGATATTATCCATCGTCTAGTAAAGAACTGAAGTAAAGTAAAGTACTGAAGATGGAGATAGAGTCCCATCTCCGAAACGTCGTTTTACGTTTTATATTTACTAGACGATGGATAATATCCAAGTAAATTTTTATTCAATTGATTCTTTTTTACTGATGTACAATCTTGTATTTTGTTAAGTTACGTTAATGATTTCAGATGATTCATTACTCATGGTACAGCATGTCAGATGGGACCAGATTGAATTGCTGCATTCTTCACATTCTCACTTTCATTTTGTATTTCTTGTGTAGAGAAGTCCATGTGGTATCAGCTAGTAATAATTTTACATTATTGTAAAATTTCCCTCGGTTAAAAATGGGACAGTTGGAAATTACAAGTTAAGCATAATTCTGGGAAGGAAAGTAATTTTTGAAATTTTGTTTGCATCTTTGTTTTAGTCTCGAGAAATAAATACATTCCTTGGTGACATCATTCGTCACATGACTCCAGAAAGAGCCTATGAACATTACTATCCACAGCTGCAAGCTGTTGTAGACAGACTGCTTACCTATACACGAGATTATGAATCACTGTTTACCATGGTATGTTTACTGCTTTCAGTTGATTAATGATGTGAATGTTTTCATGTAATAATCATGTAGTAAAGACTCGTTTTATATGTTTGTGAATCTAGCATGGGGGAGTACCTCCTGTGATGGTTTCAACAACTAAGATCCGACTTTGACTAGTACTTTTTCACATTTCAGATCTGGATCTATCTGTTTTGACTGCTGTGTAGTAGTGCATTCTTACAGTACATGGCCTCACAATTTAATGCTATGTAACTTCTGGCATTAAATATCCTATAATTCAGTCACTTAGTTGATAAATTATTGCTTCTGTTAAGAAAATCTACTTTCTTGAGAAGATTTTATTTTGTTGCCTGTTAATACAATTTCTGGAAAGGAAAGATTTCCTTTGTTGTTTCCTCAAGGTGGAAGGCAGATGACTGCTTTACATGAATTACTGAAACACTTTCATTTTCCATGTTTGGAGACAGTACACATGCAATTTGCAGAAACTTACATTGTCATGGCAGGTTGTTGATACTTGTGTTGTTTTGTTGGAAGCTGACACCATGTTTTTGTGGGCTGATTTGCTGACAGAGATCTGCATTAAACACACCTTTAAGGCACACTTAACATTTCTGAATTCTGCGGTTAAAATTATGTTAAATGATTACATATTTACTTCCAGAAAAACATTTTACACACATAACAGTTCATATTGTAGATTTTGTTCAAGTAAGGAGTAGGAAGAGATAATCAAACTTTAATCTGAATAAACATTTATGTCATCCAGACATGAATTTTTAAATTTGATTTCCTACTGTTGCAGGACAAATTTCTGCCTCTTCTGGATCTTTTTCAAAAGGAAAGCATCAAGGTAGAAGTATGTAAGAATATCATGGATGCTTTCACACGAAGCAATGTTCATCAAGAACCAACCAATGACCCAGTTATTACAAATGCTCTAATGTTTATTTGCAGGGTTATGCATGATTCTGTGAAGTAAGTATAGCTTTAACCTCTGTCATAATTTAATAACCCATTGATTTACTTCCATGGTTTTGAGATGTGTACCCAGCTAGTACGATGGCTGTGAGACATCAGTGACTGGATATCTAAACAGTTCATGTATTTAGCAGTGGAAGCTGTATACGTTTATGGAAATTTTATTATAATTTTTAAACTTTTATTAAGTGTTGTGATATGGTAGTGGGTTAAGTAACAAAAAACACCTTTGTTGGTAAAGGTAGACTGTAGGAAACAGGTTGAATGAAGTTAGAATATTTATAAGCTAAAGTTTCCTCTCTTTCAAATATAATTGTCTTGAGATCCATACCCTTCACTTCTATTGTGTTTCATATGGATTGTCATTTTGTTTCAAATGTTACAGTGCGCTAACAGTAGATGACGAGAAGAGACAGATCGGAAATCTCATCTGTGGTTTTGTCAAGAAGGTAGATTATGGTAGAGACTTTGAACAACAGTTGAGTTTTTATGTGGAAGCAAGATCAGCTTTCCCTAACTTAGATTCTGTGCATGCTCAATTAGTACAGGTAAGCTAACAATGTTTACTGGTTAAGTATGAAATATTTCATAAATCCAAATTTTCTTGAATATGATATGAAAGTGTTGAATGTAAAATATTGTTCTAATTAAGTATAGGCAGTCTTATTTCTCCAGTTTAAACTTTATCTTACTTGCGTTCCTTGTTGGGAACGTAAGTTGAGTACTCAGCCCTACGAACGTTCCTTATGCAGAATGTAAATACTTGCAACACTGTAAGGAGATTGGCTATGTCTTTTGGCCTCTTTTAGGGGCTGCAACCATTGAATCACTTTCTCTAGGGTTCTGACAAGTTCAACCTGAGCTGTCAAGCCAGAAACTATAACCATAAACAGCAATAAACTTTGTTTATGTCAAATGGGTTTCGGCTTCCTTTTCAGACCCCCTATTGAAAGCTACTCACATTCCTTGGCATGATCTGTGAAAAGAATGTGTATCCACTGAAGTACAGGGAAACAAAATTTTCTGTGTGGTCAGTAGTTCACAACCATGGCTTCTACCATGTTTTCTGAGCTTCCAAAGAAGAAAGTAAAGTTACTAAAGCCTGAAGAAATACCAGAAGTTATTTTGGACACTGATATTAACGACATTTTTAAAAAACTCTATGTATTCTCTGTTCTATTTGCATAAATATGGCCTTTATTTCATCATTTTATCATGTTTACTTTAGATAATATTAAAGTTTTCCATAGAGCGTGCACAAAAATTTAAATACCCGCAAAAAAAACTCCGTAGGGCTGCTACCACTTTGCCATTTAAATGCCGGTCGTTTAAAGGTGAAACAAGGAAATTTTTGTCTCATTTACCACATGGAAAGTGGTTATTTCTTTAATTGTATTTACTAGCATAATTCTCATGTCTTTCTTAAACAACTTTATGTAACTCATCTTGGACTTCAAATGTGTTATATGTGTATTTCTATTTATGGCATCAGAACACTAGTGCTTGATTAACAAATTAAACATGATTTGATATAAAAATGATGTAGAAATACATATAGCTTCCAGCAACAAATGAAACAAAGTAAGATTTCAGGTTCTCATGGTGGCACATATGAAGATGGCTGCCTGCTCTGCGATAGAAAGCCAGTGGCTGACTGCTTGAGCTATGGCACACTCCTTGTATTACCACAAAGGAATTCTTCTTGCAGAGTGTGAACTGTTTATCTGTGGAAACACGGCGCATAGTGAAGGGACATCATACCCGCAAAACAGCTGCCTTTGTGCGAGCCTGTGCAGCATATTGCTATATTACAATTCCATCTATCACATCTGTACTAACTCGACTAGAGCTGTACCTGTTGTCCGGAGAAGTAGCGTTGCTCAACCAGTGCTTGGGACAAGGTTAGCTTAGATGAAACTTTTAGTTGTAAGCATTCCTTATACAGTATTATTACATGTAGGATTTGAGGTTTTCACAGCAGTGAGTCTGAGGATTGCTGTCTTCTGGGTTATTGTGCCATTAGTCTGGTAGATTTCTACCAGACTACACAGCAATCTTCAGTATGATTACAGATTGTCATGTTGCTCACATTAGGTCAGTCTTGTATTCAGGAAATTAGCTTAGAATTTGTTTCTTATTTAGATTACTTACATGGTTTTCAAGTTATTGTTGTTCTTTCAAAATAAATGTTTGGAATTTCCTCTAAAAGTATTCTACTGTATGTTCATCTTGAATTTGCAACCATTTAGATTTAACAGAAGTAGCTCAGTCAACAAAGTGATGGGCTGCAGATTGGATGGACATTGTTCAGTTCTCGATAATGTCTGCATCATTAATCTTGGTGTTTTAAAGTGGGGTCGGGAAGAAGGGAGTTTAGTATGATGTACTCTACACATACTTTTCTCAGTACTACAATCCAAAATAGCATTTCTCCATTGTCTGCACATTACAGCCAGTGTGCACATTTAATAATTGAGTGAATACTGCAGCACAGAATGTTGTTTGATTGGTGAATACCTGCTGCGTAAACCAAGCAGTAATGAGCCAAGCCGGATGAAGTGAAGACATCATATAAAGTAATGCAGACAGTAGGGTACTGGGATATTTGTCTTTACTGCATTAAACAGAATGGCTCTGGGACTTAACCATTCTCATATTCAGTAGGTATTGATACCATTTTCCATGAGAGGGAAGCAAGCAGAACATAAAGTAGGAGATTTGCAATGTATGGAGCTTTATCTCTTTTAACCCTACATGACTTCATGGCATAGTTCTTAGGTTCAGGGGCATTTTTGTCTTTGCATTACAAAGGATAGAAAATGTTCTTGCGTCTTCTATACCAGTGGTATTCAACCTTTTTTGTTTGCGTTCCCCCAGATATAATTTCTCTTCAACTTTGTACCCCCAAAGTTGTTGGTCTATAATTCAAGTTATACATAGTATATAATCTACATCTAAAATAAATCAAATAAATTACATTACTGATTATTCAGTGTTTATCATAAAATAATATATATATTTTTAATTTCATTCACCCCCTAAGATGTCTTCGCATACCCCAGGTTGAGTACCACTGTTCTATACCATATTATCATGAAAGATCGTCGTCACCATAGTAATGATTATTACTTAGAAAGTTTATGATTGTCTGCAGTTTAAATCATATCAGTTATAAAAATTCAAAAATGTATGTATGAATGTAAATGAGATGTCTCCCTGAAGATAGAAACAAAACCAGTCTGAAATATAGAAACTTTTAGAATCACAGACTATCGATAATGATTATTGTCATTAAACTTTAGAATGATCTTGTGTTATTATGATGGATTTTCACTTCTTATTGTGTGAAAATATTATGGAATTAAAATGAGCAATATACAAATTGTCATTTCAATATGAAGAAAACAGAATCTAATCAGATTTATAGTAGTATATTAAAATTATTTAATGTTTATGGTTATACCATAAGGTTGTTTCCTTGTTTACTCAAAAAATGGAATATAATTTTTCAATGTTAGGCATAGATTTTTTATTCATAATTTAATTGTACAATGAATTGTTGTGTTGTATATTGAAATATAAAATAATGCATTAGTTTGAGATTTCTAAGCCTTATTTCAATCCTGTGTGTTAGTATTCTCAATGATATGAAGGCGATCATAACTAGAATTTTGCATAAATTTGTATACATGTTTATACGTATTAGAAATACTGATACATAATGTACTTTTATTCTCAGGAAACAGTAGATGTCTATAACTCATATATTTAACTTTAAAATTCCTTTAAACATAAAATAAGCAAGTTAACAAAAACATTCTGATATACCAACTGAACAGTTTAATTAATTTGAGTGTCTTTTTTCTTATTTATTTGTTATTTCAGATGCTTATTGAAGCATTTATAGCTGTTTATTAGAAAATGGTTGAATGTTATCATTGATTGGTAGATAAATTACATACTACATATTTATTTCCAGCGGATGCATGTTTCAAAGCTGCATTAAGCTTGGTACCAGAATTTCCCCGAACAATAGAAGTTGATTGCAAGCAGCGCAGCTCAGAACCATATTTAATTTCATATCTGTGCCATTTCCTGTCCACACTTCTGGTTGTACCGGTCAGTAATTCTACTCTATAATAATCAGTAATTTCAGTTTCTGAATGCTATTTTCAAATAGTAATATGATAATGTGCATACTTTATGTGTTCTTTGCTTAATGTGCATAAAATAGAATATATAATAGGGAGTGCTGTATAGTTAGTCTCTTGCATGTTTTATCTTCAAGATCACTTAATAAATTTCAGTTGAATGTGATATTGGAGTTCTTCACTACAGGTTGTCAGAGGAATTAGTATTTTCTTTTTGAGCTTTTCTCCATAACAATATTAACACATGCTTGGGATTTTTCAGGATACCAAAAATTCTTAGCATCACAGGGCTCAACTACACATTCATGCTAACAGATAATTTTCAACAACATTTGTTAAAGACTCTCGGGTTATAAGCCGCGTCATGTAGCTGAATGGTGAATAAACCATATCTACCATTTAGCCAAATGAAGCGCCTTGTAACCCAGGAGTTTTTCATCAACTTCAGTCACCGCGAAAGCTTCACTTTTTACATCAAAACTTTTATGAACATTAAAATGCTGTTATGTTAAAATGTAATAAATAAATGCACTCCTAAATTATAAATTTGTCTGATTTGATTTCCTAATGCTTCCCATTATTTCTAACAAAGTAGTTACACCCATACATTTATCGGAGCTTTTTGGCTTGATTTTAGGAGTAGAACATAATCTTTGTCTGATGCATGTAATTAGGAATCATCCTGTGTTGTCTGAGCTATTGACATTGTTGTTGAATAAACCACAAATAAATAAATAAATGTCACAGTAACCTGATATATTCATGAATAATACAGATGAGTCAAAGTAATCAGGTTTAAGGTACTACAATTTTCATTATGATCTTCAGATATATTTATTTCCTGTATGCCATGAATAAACTTAATATAAACCTACATTATAAATAAGGGAACAAAGATTTCACCACACACAATATATTTATATTATTAACAACGTAGAATTATATTCTGGGCAGCATGTTTCAGTCACTGAAGATCATCTGCTTCCATCAACAAGAAGACGTCTTAATAGTACATCCTAGATCACAATTTGTAATTTTTAATTTGAAATTCTTAATTTAATTTTAATTTTTGTAATACATAATTCTAGACAGTAGAAATCACATATAATCCTGTTTCAGAATAAAAAATGTATCCACAAATCCTGAAGATGAACACGAGTGATTGAAAAATGTTGCCCAGAATTTATTTCTGCATTGTTAATAATATAAGTATATTATGTGTGATGGAATCTTTGTTTCTGTGTTTATAATACCACCACACCACAGTAGGATGCAAAAATGGATGTTTATAAAGCTTCATATCTTTTTACATACCCAATGATGGAAGCTCCTTATGAGCTGAGCTGTGGAATTTTTACATTAAAAGTTATATTTAAAATTTAAGACATACATTGCAGTGTTGGTTCATGAATACAATGTATTTGTGAAGTGCTGCCTCAAAATTATTCATTCATAGTATGGGTGTTTCTGTATTATCCATGGTTTTGTATCTGTTTGTGATTTATTTCCTGTTATTACTTAGGGTAAGTAATATGTTGATGTGTTTTCAGGACTCACCTGAGCAGGGTGTCCTGTATCTTACACGAGGACTGCTGAATGTGCTTCAGCATTATACTTGGGAACCAAATAGTAATGCTCGACCTGTGGTGTACCTGCATGTCCTCGATATGTTGTCAGTAGCCGCTCAAGAAACCTATCCTTATCACATAGATAAAGGTAACAATGTTTCTGTTATTTTTGTCTACACTTACAAAGTCTAGTCAGTGGTCCCAAACATTTCTGTGCCTACAGGCACATTTGAGAGTTTATGAGATTGTGGCGGGCACCAGCCAATTAACAAAGCCAAATTTTCTTTTCTCTGGACAAATAAGATATGGACACCAAATAATACACAAAACAACACGACGTTTAATGATACAAGAACCCACACAATCAAAAATACATAGTTTTATAAGTACAGTTATTATTTTTGAAGTGGAAAGTTAGTGTGATGTTTGGCACTGCATTTCATCAGCCAGTTTTTCAAATTTGGGATGTTGCTGCTCACAAACAATCGTCAAGATGGGCATTAGTAAGTCGAGATCTGTGCTTTGATTTTGTAATGTTTGTGGTTTGATGGCCTTCATTATTCAGTATCTCTTTCCGTAACAACGCGGGCACCCAAAACAAGCCATGGCGCCCGCTGGCACCGCGTTGGGGACCACTGGTCTAGGTGGTGTATTTCCCTCTGGAACTGCATAGGATTTTCAGTTCCTCAAGGTATTTCTTCATCATCGCCCTGATGACGGAGGCAGTATGACCTCTGAAACGTTGGTTAACATCGACCAGACTACACAGCGTAACAACCCAGAAGACGGAAATCTTCGTATTTCTTCTAGTTATGTTTTAAAATAAGTCATGAGTTTTTGAGTCGTTCTTCCCAGATGATACCTGTGGAGATGTATTTATAAAGATGTAACATACAGTAGAATTAAGTTTAGCATTCTTATCTTTGCATGTTTACAGCCGGAGTTTAATGTACAATTTCAGCATTTGGAGTTTACCTGTAGTATTTGGATAAACCCGAAAAGCTGAAGTTATACATTAAGTTGAAGTCTGTTTATTGTCTGGGGTATTATTATGTTCTTTTATATTCCCACATATAGCAAATAACAGTTGTAACGAACAAACATTTTCAGTCCTGCTGCATTTGTTATAATTGAGTTTTACTGAAATCATTTCAGAGGCAGTATTCAGACAATTCATAGTGATGCATCATGTCATATATTAGTCCATGTGTTCATTGTTTTTGCTACCATTCTACAAGGCAAAATAATGTTTGAAGCAGAAATATTCTCATATCAGTACTCTTTTAGATACACTGTTTTCATTGTATGATGAGAATACCAGTTTCAAGGTATGACAGAGTTATCTTGTGGATGTACACTTATCCTTTGCGGTAATTGTTAACTGATTTAGGATATGGCATTAGCTGGCTAATATTGAATATTTGTGTAACTAATTGGTATTATTCATCTTTAGAGGTTTATGTTTTAAAGCAGTGGTCCCCAACGCAGTGCCCGCAGGCGCCATGGTGCCCGCCAAGGCTTTTTTTGGGTGCCCGCGTTGTTACGGAAAGAGGTTATTCTGAATAATGAAAGCCGTTCAACCATGAACATTGTAAAATCAAAGCACAGATCTCGACTTTCTAATGCCCATCTGGACGATTGTTTGCGAGCAGCAACATCATCCTACACTCCCAAATTTGAAAAACTGGCCGATGAAATGCAGTGCCAAACATCACACTAACTTCCCACTTGAGTAATAATAACTGTACTTATAAAACTATGTATTTTTGATTGCGTGGTTTCTTGTATCATTAAACGTGTTGTTTTGTGTATTATTTGGTGTCCATATCTTATTTGTCCAGAGAAAAGAAAATTTGGTTTTGTTAATTAGTTGGTGCCCGCCACGATCTCATAAACTCTCAAATGTGCCCGTAGGCACAAAAAAGTTGCGGACCACTGTTTTAAAGTGTTTGTAATAATTATACCTTTAAAGCAGTGTTTTAATCACATGAGGTGATCATGGAACACTACTGCTAAGTCCATCACTTCTTCAAACTACTCGTGGTGCCAGTTTTAAATTAATGGTTACTGGGTATATTGAAGAGACTAGTATAACAATTGTGTGACACCACAAAATACAGTATTGCTGGGGTGAGAATGTGGGGATGAAGGAAAGACAAAGAATTATTACTGTATACATTTTACCAGAAACTTATTATGTAAACCTGAAACTGATCATTATAAAGAAATGTCAGAAAAATGTTAAAATTCAGTTAGTTAATTGTACCTAAGAATTGTATCTAGACAAGTACAGTTATAATTATTTTTCCCACAGGGAATAGGGTCACCTTGCAGACAGATTACAGTAATAATGTTAAACCTGTTTGTATACATCATATATTAGTATTACTTTTTTTTCTTTTGCAGTGGATTCCAATGACATGCTCTATGGCTCAGACCCAAAATTCATCTCTGAAATCAACAAGATGTGTTCTGTATTGATAGATGAAATCCTAGCCCACCTAAAATACTTGAAGACAAACGAAGAGTTTCAAAAACAGGTAAAAGAATTGCTTAATAAGTGCTGTAGAATTGTCATAAAAGTAGTGGACAAAATGATGTATTTATTTCACAGGGCTTTGAACCTTTGTTATTTTTCAGTATGTCATGAGCTATTCATTTTTAAGTTTGGTAAGAACATGAGATGTGCATCATCATATGAGGAATTACAGGATAATTGTTACCTGTGAATTAAGAAAGATTTGGAGGGACTCCAGGAAACTATATGGCAACATCACTGACCAACACATTTTCATTACCTGTTTGCAGACATTTCCTGAATCCTGGTCACAAAAGTTTGATACAGAACAAGAAGTCCTAAGTGGAATTGTCACTTCATGCTTGCGCTGTGGCAGTTTAAATCCTATGTACCATTTCCCATTTCTTTGAATGTAATTAAACTGTTCAATAAAATATTGTAATTTATATATAATGTTTATGTCAGTACTATTTTATATTGCAGTCTTCATTAGCCTTGGATCTGTTTGTAAGAATTGTGGTTCGAGGCAATCTTAAAGAACCTTCTTTAACAACATTAGCTGTCAACTTGTGGAATCTCGCCCACAGACATGGCTGCTTAGATCAAAAGCTTTCAGTAAGTATTTTGAGTCCTTATTCTTAATCAGCACATTCTATTTGTTTTAACCTCGTTTTAGTGTGCAATAGGAATATAAACAGTGGGTTTTTAATTGAAATAGCTTTATTATTTGTTCAGTTTGATTTAAAACTTTAAAAATGTCAATTTTCTGCCTTCACATTTCAACAATTCTTACTCTTGACACCACAGTACAACTTAATATTCATGTAATCTTAAATTAAAGTTAAAAATCAGATACTTTTATAAATAGGCCTATATTCATTATGGTGCAGTTTCTATAAATCCTAGTAATTTCTTCAGTTATATCTACCAGTTATTCCCATCACTGAAAATTAGTGTTTGGAGGTAAAAGGAAAGGCTCCTAGATATACAGGGTGATTCAAAAGGTTAGGGCCAAACTGAAGGAGCGTATAGAGCGACTCAGAGAGAACTTTTGAATAGGAACCCATGTCCTCCGAAGTTATCCTGAGTCAGTCGAGGCCATTGAAGGTAGGGAAGTCTGATAATATACCTGTTGTAAATTTGGTTTGTAAGATTGCTAACGTTATCTTTGTACATTAATAAAGAAACAAAATTAAGCTAGTAGGAAAATAGCAAAGTACAATTATTTCAGCGGTATGTTATCAGACTTCCCTACCTTCAATGGCCTCGACTGACTCAGGATAACTTCGGAGGACATGGGTTCCTATTCAAAAGTTCTCTCTGAGTCGCTCTATACGCTCCTTCAGTTTGGCCCTAACCTTTTGAATCACTCTGTATATAGGGTGTATATCTCTTGAAGCTGATGACAAAAACAAACTGTTATTTGATGAAGACTGGAGAGTTTTGTGATTAGAAATTAAAATAAAATCTGTAATTCACAAACTGAACAAACATGGTATATTTTTAGGTGTCTGTAGAATATTAATGCACAGTCATTTATTTCCTTCCTGCCTTTTGCTCTGTCTGGTGAAGGCCCGGACCTTAGAATATCTTAAGAAGAAAAGTATGCAGCCAGGAGGAAATTCATATGTAGATTTGGTGAACAAACTCCATATGCAGAATTTGTGATTGAACTCCAGTGCAAGAGGGCACAGAAAATACGGAAGATACCAAACTTTTTGTTGTAAAGTAAGGAAGAGGAATATCAGTGTTTGTGATATTGACATTGCATTTATGTTGTATCTTCATTTCTTGTATTTGTTACATGTAAAAATTCTGTATCTACATTAATATTATTTAGTATACAAATACTCTATATATTTTGAAGGGATGCATACACATCAGTATTTATATATGAAGGATGGAAATAAAAATTGTGGCAACAAAGTGATTTATGAATAGTTTTTTTATTGGTACCCAAGAGGAATTATAACCCTTTAGTATAGTCCCACATGGTGTAGTTAGCATACTGGCCTAGTATTCAAAAGTTTATGGGTTCAGTCCATCTGCCACTACTAATATTAAAATAAACCTATAACAAAACTGTCAGTACAAAGTTGGGGAAAGGCAGACACGGAGATTCAATGTAACCAATCAAACTTAACTATCTCATCTTGGTATGAGGATTTTATTTATGTTTAATAGCCCAAATACAAACTATTCTTACATATATATTAGTTTTCTTCATAAATATGTCAGGGAAACCAAAGAAATTTAAGGAAAAGCTGTCTCCAAACATGGGAAAGCCAACAAATTTCCATAAGGTAATCCTATATTAGCGTAATTAACATACCACAACCGGTAACATTATTTCTTCTTCATACATTCTGTATCCTTTAACTATTGACAAGATAGTGTATATTTTGGTTCCATTTTGTACACTGTACACAATGGAACCAAAATGTTTATTTGTAAACAGTGTGAATAACAGTATATTCAGGCTTATAATTTTTTTGTTTTGTATTTATGGTTTAACAGAACACTCCTCCAGTTAAAGGTGTAAATGATACCATGTCCAACACAGAGTTCAACAGTTTTCGCATTCTTCATAAGTAGGGTGTATGATTTTCGTGTTATATTTATGCTTGTTGGTTTATGAATTTGTGCCAAGAACACCTATTACCGGCATTTTATTAATAGAAACACGCTGAAAATATTTGTGCATGAGAGAGTCGTTCTGAATGTGGGCTTTGAAGAAATTTGTCGTTTCTTGTCGGGAATCGAACTTCTAGCTGGTCACTTCGTTGACCGTTATCTCTAATTAATATAGCAAGAACTGCAAAATACCTTGTCAGCAGATAGAAAATTTCGAAAATGGACATAAAATACGGCTCATTCAGTATTTGTCCGAGTTACATAATAACGAGTTGAAAGGATTCATTTTTTGTTTCGTTGTCTGGCATAGCAGCAACCAATTGGAACGCAAGTACAGCTGCTAACCGACCAGCGAGAACAGACGCAGTTTCAACGAAAGTAACAGGTAGTGAGTGCTGTGTAAACTGCACGTAGCGCTGCAGTGGTATGAGTGTGGTCCGTCTGCTTCTACAACTGTGCGTTTCAGATAAAAAGCTGTGGAAGTCTGTAAATAGTCATCCTTCGAAGTTTTAATACAGAACAGTGTTACATCTTTGGATCATTTCTTGTTGCAAAGGTAAGAAAATAATAGTATCATGACATTGATTTAGCAATGTGTGATTCAGTACTACCGATAATTTTATGTTGATAGAAACCAGCGCACACACTCGTGTAAATAACCCCGCTAGAAGTGTGTTGAATGACTATTCATCTTGATTTCAATGTCAAATTCATCATGAAGTAGAATTTCCTGTGGAATATCTAATATGGTCTATGGAACTAGTGCAGGCCCACCCAACTTGTAGCTCGCGGGCAACATGTTCCCTGCGGAGACATACGAAATATTAAAATGTCTTTTAACCCTTTTAGTGGTGACGGCGCGTTAGAACGCCGAAGCAATTCCACCTGTTCAAATTCTGGAACATATATTCAAATTAGGCCTACTGCTTACGTTTATAGCTATTCATCAGTGGCGTTATTGCACTACATATTTTTAAGTTTGTTGAAAAACTACGGACCCGAAAAATACGGGAAGGAAAAACAAACCCCATTTGGAACGTGGTCTTTTAAGTATATTGGTAGGACTTCTTGTCTTATAAACGCATAAAGGTTCGTGTGAAGTACTTTCATGACCAACAAAAATTCCGGCAATGCTGAGATGTTTTATCTTGGTTATTTATGTGTGGGAATGAACTGTAACTAAAAAGAGACAAGAGAAATCAGATACCAGACCTTGAAAAAATCTAGGTCAGGAGAGCATGCCATTATTAAACACAATGACATGACTAAAATAACTGCAGAGACGTTTCATCTAGGCCTAATTTCTGCATGCCAAGTCCAGTGAGGCCTATTTGGGAACGATGGTAATCGGAATTATATTCACAAAGAAATCAAGGCCATTTCAGTTATTTAAATGCCCGCTAACGTGCTTCTCTGAATTTTCTGCCCAAAACCCTAAGGATTTAATGACACAGAACTATATACTTTCACCTGTTGTTTTGTGCTGATTCGATACTTGTTCTTTTGCATCAACTCAAGACGTGAGAGTGATTGAGAACAGGATGTGAATACAGTGAGCATTCTGTTCCATTAAAAAAGTACAATTTTTTGACTACGCGGGGGACTGTTTCATTGTCATGAAGGATTTTGTTACATGGAGACGTATAAACCTAACACCTAATTGAAAGGAAATGCTCGAACTCGGAAAATAGGCTGTTCAGTACAGGTCACACTGCAAGCGAAGTTATCGCTCGTCGTTCAAACATATTTGTTTCCATTCGCGCGAAGAGATGGATACTGAAAAATTAATTCATCTTGTTTTCAATGAGAAGGCTTTGTATGACCAAAAAATGAAAACTTATCACAACGGAGAGGTTTCAAGGAAGTTATGGCAAAAAATTAGTGAGGTTATGAAAGTTTCAAGTGAGCAAATATTGCAGTTTAAGTTTATTACAAACTCTTCCTTGCTACACCAGTACAAATTCTACGTTTATGTTTGTTGAAGTAGTGGATTGTGTGTGGCACGAATAATTAGAGAAAGTTGAACTGTTGGATAATTTTACCTTCACTACTGTTAAAATAGTTTATAAATGCATCTCTGATGTCACAAGCCTGTTGTGCTGACCTATTATGTGATAGTGATTGATTATATTTATTATGCTTGCATTTTGTGGTGTCGACGATGTAATAGATGGATCATAAATACTTTCCTTCTCAATAATAATATTATGCAACAAGCATATGCACTTTACTATTAAATTAGCTTTATCTGGTTCAGTTTCAGTACACTTATTGAGTAACCTCCATTTGGCTACAATTGTACCGAAGGCATATTCTGCTGTTCTCCGTGCTCTGGAGAGTCTGTAATTATAAATCTGTTCATCTCTTGATAAATCTCGTTTTAAATATGGTTTTATCAGATAAGTCTTTAAAGGATACGCGTCATCACCTAATAAAACATGAAGTGACACATCAGTTTGAGGAAGATTTGCATTTTGTGGTAACTTCAGCGATCCATTTACGAGGGATTTGTAAAAACTTGATGCAGCGAAGGTTTCTCCTTCACTCTGTTTTCGTACCCGCCTATATCAACACATACAAATTTATAGTTTTCGTCACAAACAGCTTGCAAAATAATGGGAAAAAATTATTTGTAGTTATAAAACTGCGTGCCAGATTTTTCTGGACATTTCACACGGATATGTTTTCCATCAATGCAGCCGACACAATTACATATCAAAGAATCCAGCATCGTTCTGATGGTGAAATACAGTTTCGGAAATTACTCTGCTTTTATATTGCTTCCTCAGTAGCATTTAATATGTACTGGTATGTATTCAAACGGTTCTCTTCCTCAAGCTCCATTTTCATACTGAAGGCTCGCGCCACAAACGTTCGCGCGAATACGCTTGCAGTGTGACCTCCGTGCGCTGGCCCTAAACGGTGCCGTTTGGACGGTCGCCGTATATGTGTGAAACGGGCCTAAGACGGTTTCGGGAGCGTCGGAAAGTCGACGCGGCGCGCGCGCAAAACGACGATTACTAGCTAAGACTCCTCGCCCCATAAACGTTCGCGCGTTATCGAGGAAATATCGCCTCACCTTGACTTGACGTCACTCACGCAGATAATGGCTTTCATATCTGACCTACAATAGACCTGCTCGTTCTTTTGAACTTCAGTTAGTTTTACCCGTTTGAATATCATGTGACGTATGTTCTGTGACAGATTTTGATAAAATTGAAATACGGCGTTTCTGTTTCAAATAACTTGAAACCGCCCTTGCAGCTGCTTGCATTCTTTGTTGCGAAACATTTCTTCAGACGGTCGAATTTCCTATAAAGCCCTTTAATCGCAATACTCCAGTTAAAGCTGCCAAAATATGTCGTCTGAATGTGCTATAAAGATAGCAGCATAATATTTTGAAAGTGATAAGAAAACAGACGAAGACATAATACCTTTACTCCTCTCTTTTGCGCCTTCTTGGATTCAACCTTGTAACATTTGGAGTACTTCGCTTGCAGAGGTTACAGACTATTCAGCTAAGTCTGTAAATGTATTTTTGCTTTTCTCATATTCAGTTCATGTAAATTTACATATAATTCTTCTTACATATAATTATCTTACTAGTCCTTCTCGAAGGTATCACCACCTTGTCGAAGGCAATCTGCCAGGTGAGGAGGCTTGCGTGCTCAAATGACCCTTAGGGCTAAGCCGGCCTGAGCTTCGGCTCATGGTAGGGTCACCCAAGCCGGACAGGTCTAAGGCGATGCGCTAGACTAAGAGTGATACCCTGGTCCTCCAGGTTGGGGGTTGGGCGTGGGGCTAACAACCTTTCACCTTTAAAAAAAAGCTATGTTACGAAAAAATCTTCTTGCATATCCATCTGAATCACTTCATATTTACTTAAAATGTTATATATGTCGTTCTTAGCCTGTATTTTCAAACGTGGACGTGGTTTCCTTAACACAGCCTTTACGTGGTTCCCAAATGAAGCAATATCGTCTTCAATTTCTGTAGCAGTGTTGGCACTTAACTGTTGCATTGCAATTTGCCGGCTTTCGTCCCGTTTCACGAGATAATCAAGAATATCATCAAGATTGTTGTTGCGTCTTTTTCGTCGTGGAGGCGGTGGTTTAGAGGACTGCGATGCTTCATTTGGACAACCTTCGCTGTTTTCATTCTGAGTCTCAAACTGTGCGTTTGCCGGTGAATTTGAAGTTGACGGGACTGCTGAATCTGAATCAACATTACATGCAGTAGGTCTTTCTGTTGAAACCAGTTCTAAGAATTGGAGTCTCTTGAAAAAATCCCACTTAGAATTTTTTGGTGGTGCAGCTGATCCGGTTGACATTTTTCTTTTGCGTTTAAATCGATTGTATGAATCCCGTATATACTTCCACCGTTTTTTACAGTCTCCATCTGAAATGAGAAAATACGCCCATTTACTTGTACGTGCATGCGTGTGCGTGAGAGTATGTATGTGTGTGTTGTTTGTATACGATGTCAGTTATTGAGTGATTGACAAGTTTTTTTCCCTTCCTTTCTTTCTTTTCAGATTTATGGCAACTGGCGAAAGTTAAGCTTCACTATCGTTTGCGTACCGTATATCAGCGTGTCATATTTTAACAATCGTGAAAGAGGTTCTTAAGCGACCCCTACACGGTCAATATTATTGTGCAATATTCAGTTTTGTACAATAATATTGATCGTCTATGTTACGAATTGAAAGGTTGTGCAATATATTGTGTCAATCAAAAATGGTTTGATATTTATTGCAC